GGGATCGGCTAAACGATCCTGGACAAAACCTCCACGGTGCGACTGGCAGGCGACGCCCGCAAGCCACCGCTCGGCAGAGGCAGCAGCCATACGCAGCGGCAGAGCCGCGCGGGCTTTGGCACACTCCGAGGCCGCGGCCAGCCATAGCTTCTCCTGGAAAGAGGCCGCACGCTCTCGGAGAGGCGAGGGGGAGGAGAGGGAGGCGAGGGGGAAGAGCGGGAGCGGCAAGCTCGGGGCGTTCGCGTCATATCCGACGACCTCCCCGTCCTTCCCATCACTTCCACTTGCGTTGCCCCCTTTCTGTTCGCAGAGGCGGGTGCCTGGGAAGATGTGGACCCCGAAAGAGCGAACTGATCAAATAATACATTCGCACAGGGGGGGGGGCCAAGAGCTGGGAGGGCATGGGGCAGGCGGGGGGAGGCGGGGACGAGAAGCGGATGCTCTGTTTGATATCTGGCCCTAGGCACTGGCAGGAAACCTCGGGCTCATGCGAATGCTGAGCAAGACAAGTGCAATACTAGAACTTAATAAGAAGAAACCGTAGGAATACTCTCACTGCCTCCACTACCGCAGCTGGGGTGACAACGCCATGCCGTTGCTCAGAACAGGAGTGAGAGGAGGGATGGAGGAGGAACAGGAGGGAGGGGAGGAGGAGAACGAGGAGGAGAGGAGGAACAAGAGTGAGACGATGAGGAGGCGGAGGAGGAGGAGAAGAACGATGAGTAGGGGGATGGCGTGAACGAAACACCTTTGCGGAGTCCATTGTGTATTTATCGAAACAAATATGCATCGTGACGGCGAGACGAGTGGAAATAACGAGTTTAGGGGAGGGGGGCAAAGCCTTAGGCCGCCCCTCCTCTCTGTTTGTTTCTCCTGGCCAACCCCATGCTTACCCGCCGCTAAAGGTGGGATTGACAAAGGACATGGAACAAGGAAGGGAGGGGCGGGGACGAAGGAGGAAGGATGAGGAGAGGGAAGGGTGGGGGAGGAGGGCGGGGAACAGGGGGGTGGGAAGCAAGAGGACGAGATTAAAGAGGAGACAAACAAAAGACTGAGGGGGGCATCAATCCGCAAGGTTGGTGGAAGAACCTGCTGCATGCAACGGCCACTCTCTGAACTTCCTCAGACGGCTACGTGCCAGTGTTAGCAGCTTCAAGCATGGCATCGCCTGTTTGCTGTCACTAAAAACTGATACGCAACCCATGCCAAACTTCTCACGAAATCTGATATGTGCTCTCTTGAATTACCTTCTGCCATGTGTACCCGTGCTCTCCCCGTCACCTGCAAGCCACCCGCGACGAGCAGTGCTCTCTGACGACCGTCGCCCTTCGCTGTCACTCTCCATCGTTCCTCTTACCCCGCATGAACGGCTGAATTATGCCTTTCCACGTCGCATGCCTGCCTACTACACTCCCAAACGCCCGTTCTGAACAAAACATGCCAACTAAGGCGCACCAGAAGACGATGAACTGCCATCAAGGCCTCGCCCCTGGCATCACATCTCCAACCATGCAATCGACTCTCTGTCTGAAATGCGATTGAGCAAAAGGCGTCGGCAAATGAACACCATGGACCATAAACACAGATGCAGAGCCCGAGCGCACACAGAAAGTTTCGCATGGAGCCTGGCCGCAATTTTGTGTTGGGCCGCGTAGCTCGCGCTGGACAGCCCTGAAATCCATTCGGGGGGGGGGTCCGTTGGCAATGGTCTCCGTTGGGTCGGGCACGGCATAACACAGCAAGCGCGATACTGCGACGGGGCAACCGATTTCAATCCGGAAACATAAAGCACGACGCCACGTGGCCACCGCGCGGCACATCACGACACAATTCGGAATAAGGCGCCTTGAGACAACGACAACTCAAAATCAGCGCACAAACCACTCTAGGGGTCCAACCGAACAAATGATCCGATCTGCGTCCATCCGGTGGCGACGAGGGGGCCCCCAGAAGGCCAACTACAATTGGCTCGGCTCGCCCTCCTCTGAACAATCGCATAATACCCCAGCGTCGTTTCTGCTGACCATGACACGGTAAATCAGTGCCACGGGGCAGAACAGATCCCCCTCCGTGGAAGTGGGCACGGTGCCAACAAGCACCGCACGGCATGGTTGCGCGGCCGGCAACTGACTTCGACTTGGCAAAACCACAGACGGCGCAACGCCACTGTGCACCGCCCTGCCACATGACAGCAACTTCGAGTTCGCAAGCGCAGACACGGACACGCCACAGCATGGTACCGAATGGTCCCCCCCCGACCCTAGGGGGACAACAACAAGCAAACTCGTACGGCACTACCGCGATGCAACTCTTAGCTTAATCATGTCATGCCATGCTTGATTATGTCATACCATGCTGCCCACGTGCGCACTGAGGGCAACCCTATACATATGTGCATATCAGGCGATACCTCGAACACGAATTGGTAAACTCCACGCTGGCCGATGGTGAAAGGTAGGATCACAAAACAATATCGTAAACTCGCCACCGTGTACCCTAGCATGATGAGCCGCGCTGTAATGCCGAATGCTGCCTGGCAGGGTCTCTGTAAATCTTGCACGGACGCCCGCACTCTCGCCACATCCCCTCGCATGCATCGCCCCCTCCCCCTTATTGCCCCATGCTGTGGTCACCACTTCAACGAGATAGAACTACAAACCAACGCCCGCGAAACGGAATCGGCAGACACACACGCGTGCCAGGCGGATCGAACGGCACGGGAGGAAAGGGTGTGGGGGTGAGGGTATGGGAAGTTAAAGGTGAAGAGAGGGGAGGGACGGGAGAGGAAAGGGGTGAGTGCTGATACACGCGCCTGGACTGAACTCCAACACGACGGGCGTGGGCGACCAAGGATCAGCTTGACCATGACTTTCAGTCGTATGCGACCTCAGAAAACGCAGAAGAAAACGCCCAAGACGCCTCGATCCTTGAGATGCGAAATCGGGAATCAAATGCCACATAACGAGACATCGCGACCAACACGACTCCACCTTTCTGCGATATTTCTTTGGCCACCTGCATCCTTGATGTGGCCCTCGGGCTGGGAAAGCGCGCGCCTAGAGCTGAAAGATCCTTTGTCCTCAAACCTCCCCGCGCTTTTCGTTCGCGACGTCCGGGACGGAGCTCCGAGCAGACAGTCGGTCAGCGGCGAGCGAGGGGGGGGAGAGAAGGAAGATGTCTTCTCAAAGGCGGCGGGGCTTCTCAGAAGGCCTCCGGCCTTCTGAGAGGTCTTCTGTCCTCGTGGAAGGCTTCGAACACTTCACTTCCCCCCCCGAGCTCGCCACCGAGCCAGGTCGGACATAGAAGGGGGACAGCCAACGCGGGGGTCAGGGAATCACGCGGCAGGATATCCTGGCGCCTCGCGGCGGCAGGAGCGACCACGTCTCGAGGAACGCGCGGGGCTGAGGGGCCAAAGCAAGCTGCGTGCAGCGGACCTCGTCATTGTCGGGTGTTCGTTAACGTAACAGGAGATATGACGACCCCTATCCCAGGCATCGTGGGGTTTTCGAATGGACCAAGCATTTGAGGCCCAACCCTGGGATATACGAGGGGGGGCGTCCATCCTCGATAGGGGTGCGTGCGTCCGAGTAGCCCCCTGGGGGTGTATCCCAGGGTTCCCCTACTTTTCTTGGCCGCTTGATTTTTAGTCGAAGAGTCGGGGCTGGGATAGAGACATCGCCTGCGATAACGGGGCCAATCAAAGCGGGGTGACGGAACGTGCACTTTTCGTGCACCTTTTGCTGCCCGCGGTGCCCAAATTTGGCGGCGCGCAGAGCTTCTTAGAAGGAGGCTGCTACTCAGAAGGCGCCGGCCCTACGTCTCTACACAGAAGGCCCGCGCCTTCTAAGAGGCAGAGGTGCTTCTAAGAATCCTTCCCCCCTCCTACCCCCCTCTGCGCGTGGCCGACAAGTCCCCCATCTCCCGTCCGCCCCGATACAGTTCGCCGCGGCCGCCTCACACCGCCAGGCCGGACGCCGACGGCAGCGGCGGTGGGCCTGGGCTCGCCACTTGGCCTCGCAAGCCCCGCGGACGGCGCAGCACCTCTCCGCCGCCACCGCCGGCCGTCGGCGCAGTCGCCGCCGTCGTGGTCGTCGCCGACGTAATCGTCGCGGTCGTCGTACATCAGCCAAAACCAGCGATACGAGTGGAGTTAGAGGATGCAGGACCTTGGGACGAGGCGAGAGCCAAGCAGGCGCGCGCCCAAACTGACTGAGGATGGCCCGAGCCGACGGATACAAGGTGCCTTTGCGATGAGGGCCCATCCTTAACGCTGGTGTTGACTGTAGTCGTTCTCGCGATGGTCGTGGCCATCGACTCCGAATCTGTGCCGAATCCGTGCCGAGCCCACGCCGAATCCATGTCGGACTCGTCGAATCCGTACCGAATCCGTGCCGAGTCCGCGTCGAATCCACGCCGCGCCCACATCGATCGAGCCCGCGTCGGGCATAAGAAAAAACACCAACTTTGGGGGCAGACGAGGTCCCCCGAAGATGCAACGGAATGGCTCAGGATGAAGCGATCCTGGCCGAAGAGTCCAGGCTCCGACAGGATCGGGCCGTCGGAGTTCTGGGGCGGTCCCCCGCCACTCAGGGGCAACGATAGGGGGGACCAGCTCGGGGGGGAACACCGACCCTGAGTCGGCGATGCATCGCCGATGGGTCGGCGATGTGCTATCGATAGCGAATCCGCACGCTCTTGAGCGGAATGGATCAGACCCCTACCGACGATGCATGGACGATTGGGGGTCGATGCGCTCCCTCCTGAGCCTATCCCTCCCCTATCGCTGCCCCGGGTCTACAGATGAAGGCCGTCCAGAATGGGGCCGGGCATCCACTGGTGGAGGCCGTCCAGAGCGGCCTACGGAAGGTGGGTCGGCGAATTCAAAGGGTGTGGTTTGCAGAGGGAGTGGTTTGCAACGCGCACCCTGGGGGGCGGGGAGGACCTCGACAGAGATCTCCGCCGCGCCGAGGAAGAAATGGTGTCATCCCAAGCCCCATCGACGCAGATTGGAAACCAAACACCGGCATAACCACACCGTTCGTAGTCTCCGAAAGATGGGGTCGGAGGGTTGCGCCGCCATGGCCGGTGCACCGTCGACACATCGAGGACGTCGGCACGGAGAGGATCGGGCTCTGGATCGCGCCGCGTCGCCGATGCACAGGCGGTGCATCCGCGACCATCTGAACCAGGCCATCGACGTTGACACATGTTCTGAGCATTGCTCTTGGATCCTGCACGGCGGTGAGCCCAGGGTGGAAGTGAGAGGGGGCAGGCCTTCTCAGAAGGGCGGGGCTTCTCTCAGCCCTGGCGTTTTGTGAGAGGTGTTCTGTTTTCGGGGAATGCTGAGAAAACGTCTCAGAAGGCCCGAGGCGTTCTCAGCCTTCTGAAGAGGCCCGCCCCCTTTCACTTCCCCTTCTGGGCTCACCGTCCAAATGCGGAGGGAGATCCAAGAAGCAGGGAAAAGCAGCGGCACCGACCCCCAATAAAACCCGCCACCGCTGCTATCGCTCACTACTCGCGCGATGCATACACTCCCTAGTCCAGTAGGAGCGGAAATCCATAGGAACGCATGTAGAAACGGCTGAGCCTTCTTTCAACTTTCCTGGTGTTTCCAATCAAATCATCACCACCGATGACTCTGGTGTCACCTTCTCGGAAGACGCTGACACCCGCTGCGTCGTCAACCGGGCATGAACCAGCTCCGCCGCCCGCTTCCCACTGCGGATCGCACCTTCAATGTAGCCATTGCCGAAACCAGTGTGGTAGTCCGAGCCTGCGAGAAACACGCCGGGGAGCTTTTCCATCTCTTTGTAGGCATGCCAATACTCAGGGACAGACTGTACCCCTGGCGTGAAGAAGCCAGTGTACGCTCCGCGGGCGTACGGCTGGTCCTTCCAATCATGGGCTACGAACGTAGGGCCGAAGCTTTCCGCGCGCGAGTCGTTGAAACTTTGACGCAGAAATGCCAACATGAGAGCCTGCTGCATTGCCGAGGGCAAGGACGTGAAGTACAGGTTCTGGCGGCCCTCGACGAAGCAGACGACCACTCCGAGGCGCCGCGAGAATGGCGAATGATCGTAGCACTCAACGAAGAGGGGAATACCTTCGTCACCTGGCTCCCGCATGGAGAGATCCTGCGGCAACGCAGTGGCCAATATATCCCCTTGCAGACCGAGCTCCCGCCACCATGGGCCCTGCCTGTACACCGCCGCAAACTTCAAGGACGTTCCCATTGGCATGCGCTGGAGAAGCTGTGCCTGGGCTCCAGGGAGCGGCGGCGTGAAGTCGATGGCTAGCACGACAGGTGGGGGGCCTGTGACGACCACAGCAGCTGCATGGTATTGCCGGCCATCCTGCGTGTGTACCGTGACTCCCCCAGCCACTGGCCCTGGCCTTGCTAGCACGGAGCGCACGGGGCTGCGCAGCGAAACATTGTCACCAAGCATGGCGGCCACAGCCAACGGTATTGCCTGCGTCCCGCCTCGCACGCGAAACTGATTGTCAGGACCGCCGCTATTGCAGCCCTTCAAAGACATTATATTATATAAGAAAGATACTGCTTCGGGCTCCTGTGCGTTGTGGTCATGGATGCAATTCCGCAGGACCTGCCTCGCCTCCTCGCTCTTGACTTGATCACGCAGAAAACCACCCGTGGTATCAGCGTCATAGCGGCGCCAAGCGGGCGTGATCCCATCAACATCCCAACACTTCTCGCCAAGCTCTCGAACCGCGCGGCCAATCACTTTCTTAGCCCTGCCGAGCTCCGCCAAAGACAAATTGGCGAACCGCGCAATAAATTCCGCGGGCGTGCGGAACAATGACCTTCCTCCCGCGCCGTGGTAAACAGTATTCGCAAGGAGCGCCATCTGGTCCGCAGGATACTCCGCGCCCCAGAACCACCAAGGCAAATCCTCAACGATTCCTGCAATCTGCTCTGCTTCCGCGCGCCTCCCTGGAACGGCCGCGGACTCGGCTCTGTCAGGCGCATCTGTGAAGCTCGCATTGTACACACTGATTCCCAACTCCTTACAGAGAGACAATGCTGCGGTGTGCATCGGGCTGAACCAAGTGCCGCCGAGCTCGATGACGTCATCCGTCGCTACGTCCATCCGACCGCTACCCACGTCCATGTTCCGGGTGCGCCCCCCTACGTGGTCTGTAGCTTCGAGCACGCGTACCGCGTGGCCCAAGCCGCTGAGGTGATGGGCTGCGGCCATTCCAGCCTGCCCCGCTCCAACGACTATGACATCGCTCTCGGATACCGTCTCGGTCTCGCTCGCCAGAACGGCAGACAAAAACAGAGACCACCATGTGCAAAAACTGTATATTGTGGGCCTCTTCCGGACATCAAATCCCATGACAACTCAACAATCTTGCTTCGGTGGCGAAGCAAACGGTGACAACGCAACGCAAAACCTGACAATTGACAACACGCCTTGAACCCGAAGACCACAGACCCTCCTCACTGCACCTTGCGCTTTCTGTTTTCCTGCCCTTCCCCCCCTTCCACACTCCACCAGGCCCGCATGCTTGCGTTGTCATCCTGTCTTCCCCTGTCCCCTCCTCTTCCTCAAAGAAGGAATAGTTTGTGCCGGCGTTCGATCAAATGAGACTACGCGGGCCACCCGCACTAGCATGTCGAAAACATACAAAGAAACCATCGCGGACCCGCACACACTGTCGAGTAAAACCATGCGGGTCACACGAGCGCGACTCCGCGCGGGTATGTCGAAACCCTGACAAAACCGAAGGTACTAAGGATTCCAGCACAGTGCAACATCCTGTGCCACCAGATGTCTTCTAAAGGAGACACATGTTCGAGGCTCCACGCGCGCACGTCCTCATCATTCTCATCGTCATCATTGTCATCAGCGTCGCCAGCGTCGTCATTGGCATGATCATTGTCCTCATCGTGATTATCACAATCACAATCGTCGTCGTTAACACCACCGTGATCGCCAACATCACCATCTGAAGCACACACATAGACATCATCATCAACACCAATCTCACCATCATCACCACCGCCACCACCACCATCAACATCAGTACCATCAGTATAATAATCATCGTCATCATCAGCAGCATTAGCATCATGATAATCAGCATCATCAGCATCATCATCAACATCGTCATTATCTCTCTCGACGTCATCGACATCTGCATCATCGTCACCGTAGTCATTGTCGTCACCCTCGCCATCACCACCACCACCACTATCAGCATCAACATCATCATCATCATCAGCATCATCATCAACATCATTACCATAATCACCATTCATCCTCGTCGCAGTAGCCAATTCGTGGTCACCATCACCACTCGCCCAGCCGAGTCATGGATCTGAATGAGTGATGCTCGCGAAATTGCGCCAATTCAGATTTGCCAACCAATTGCGGGTGGGTGGGTGGGATTTGTGCTTGGGCATCGGAATTGACGACTGTCAGTACGTTGTTGTACCAAATAGCTTACACCACATCGACTGCACTGCAGATCTTGCGCACAACATGTTGTACAATCTATGTTGTACCCCACATATTGCAACAAATAGGTACGTGCACATCGAGAATGCATGAACCTACTGATTGATCTCCACGCTGGCAAACATTGATTGCTCTTCGATGAACATACCCGGTCCTCGTCCCGGAACCTCGATCTCCAAACCTGGCTCCTCGCACCTCCATCTTCGAACCTGGATCCTCGAACCTCAATGCTCCGCATCCAAACCTCGATCCTTGAGACGCGGGTCGAGGATACCTGTTGTTCGTCTTTGCGAAGCAGCCCCGCCCCTTCCTCGAAGGCCGAGCGTCGATCCAAAAACCTTGGTAGATCCTCGACACTGATCCTCGGACATCGATTCTCGATCCGCGATTCTTGAGGCTCGAGGGTCAATGATGAGGTTCGAAGCTCGAGGGAAGGATGCTTGCTCTTGATCGAACAGCCCCGATCCTACCAAACTACATCCTCAAACCTTGATCCTCGATAGGTTCAAGCTTCGGGATCGAGGATGGGGCCCTCACATCATGGCCCGAGGCATGTGCGCGCACGAAGGGTGGCCAGGGGGACGTTTTGAACGAAGAAGAGAAACACATCGCGGAGAACAATACCCTGGGAGACTTGCTCATGGCCGCAGCAGTGATCTCTCCGCACTCTCACCCCTACGGTCACATGCCCCCCAGCCCCCCTCCCCTCAGCGGTTCAAAGATGGGGCCCTGAGGCATGGGGCCCAGGGAATAGGAGATGGATCCTAGACTGAAGCGTTTCCGTTCGCCCTTGGGGCCCCAGCTTTGAACCGCCGATCCCCAATCCCCCGATCGTCTATCAAACAACCCTGATCCTCGACCGCCGCTAGAGAGGCGGTCGACGGGCAATGAATCACTGCTGCGTATCCGCCACCGTGCCACTGGGCACAGAGTGGGCGTGTCCTCAGGTCCTTTGCCCAATCCCCTGAGGCTCAGATCCTCGATCCTGAGGGTTCTTACTTACGGCGCACGGACCCCGAATTCACAAATCTCCTTGGGCCTGCCGCGGCTTCCCGCGTGACTTGTTCGGGCCCAAGGGGGCCTGAAGAGGCTCTCATGGCCCCACGAGAGGGCCCTGAGACGCCCAAGACGGCCCAAGCAGCCAACAAGACGTCCCAAGGGGCTTCCAAGAGGCATCCCACGAGGGCCCCATGAGGCCAAAATCATTAATCTGAGCGTTCATCCCGCCTTTTCGGCGACCCTACTCTTCAAGACTCCCCAGGAGGCCCCAACGGCCGCCTCAAGACGGCACACGAGGCCTCCAAGAGGGCTCCCAAGCGGCCCCGAAGACGGCCCGAGAGGCGCCCAATGCTCAAGCGGCCCCGAAGATGGGGCCCAGATGGGGAATCCTAACGGACATTTCGTCCTTCGGTACCGAGGGGCCCCCAGTGCTCGCAAGAGGCCCAAGGAGGCCTCAAAGAAGGCCCCAAGAGGCCCCCGCAACTGCCCAGAAGAGGCCCCCGAGAGCGCTCTGAAGGGACCCCAGGAAGCATCCCTTAGAACTCTGACCCATCACCCAGGCACGGTGGCAGAACGGGCCAAAGGCCACTTGATTGTTGAACACCCCCTCCCCCATGTGATCGGCGACCAACCCGTACCTATGCGGGCCACACGAGGCCACCCCCCCGCCATCCTAGTCACAGAAAAGAATCCAAACTACACTTTGGAACAATCTTGGGTCATGCTGGTGGGCTCCGCGAACACGTTGTTTTGTGTTTGACATGGGCGGCGGGGATGCCAGCATATTGCCTGTGTGCAGGCCCACAAGACACCATGATTGCCACCCCGCCGCGATTGCGCACTGGTCTTCGAAAAGGACGGTGGGGGCCGACATGTTTCCCGATGTGTACTGTCACGAACGCGGGCGCACCTGGCACACTTTGCGCGTGCCCCGAACGTGGCGCACCTGGCGCGGCTGAAGCAGGCGGCACACATGGCGCACGTGGAGCACGTGGCGCATCTCGCGCACTAAGCGTGCCTGGAACGCATGGCGCGCCGGGCACGCGTGGCGCACCTCGCCGCAACGTCGCGCACATGGGGTCTGTTTCGGTTCCCAGTAGCTGTCCATCTAAAGACGACCGCTGAGCATACTGAGTCTCGGATGCTACGTATGTGTTGGGAGAGCGGGTGGGAGTGAGCGATGCGGCGCGCGGCTTGTATGCAGCTTGCCTCCACCATGGCCGCGCCTAATTTCGGAACAGGGCGGGCTGAGACAGCATCAGTCCCCTCCTGGGGTCCAAGCGTACCAGTTCTCCAAGCTGCAGCCGTAGTGACAAAAGAGCCTCCCGACGGCCAACTACCGCTGTCTCAACTCGACCCACTAAAATCCCCCTCCCCAATCCCGACGGCCAACTACCGCTGTCTCAAATCGACCCCCTAAAATCCCCCTCCCCAAATCCTCACGATCGTCTGCAGTCTATATATATACACATGAAGAACGGTCGGCACTGACGCAAGGGCCTCGGACGCCGCAGATGGCACTTGTTGGTCTTCTGGCTGCCAACTCCCCAGGGACGCAGGGACGCCCAAGGGTCCTGAAGGGCAGGCCAGTGGCAACGGAGAGTGACGGGCCGCAGAGGCAAGACCGTAAGGAGTACCCTGAATTGTGAGCCTCTCTTCCGGGTTAACTCTTTCACTGTATCGAACGGGCCCCGATGCGCGACCGCCGCGAGTGGCGGGCGGCCGACGGGCACCGATCTCCACCCCCACCCCCTCGCCTCCTCTGCGTGGTCACCGCCCCCCCCCCCTGCCTCTCCCCAACTGCCCCGACCTTCTATGGGGGGCCGGGGGATCGGATGCATCGGGGCTCTGATAGAGGGGCCGGGGTCTGACCGATGACCCCTGATGCTCGGGGGATGTCGGACAATAACCGACATCCCCCGGTCCTCGACGGCCGCGAAGGTGGTGGCCAGCGGCCGCCAGCGTTGCGGGCGGGCGAGGCGCCCGCTCGTCGGGAGGAGCGTGCGGCGCCGTGCGGCAGCAGGTCGGGCACGTCGGCACCTCGCCGAGCAGAATACGGGCAGGCCAAAGCCGTCCACGGCGATGGCACAAACGAGGGAAGAGCGAGAGACAAGTGACGAGGGAGGGAGCAGGGAGAAGAGATGAAGAGCATGGAGCGCTGAGGGATCAGCAGGATTGAGTAATGAGGGAGGAGACGTGAGAGATGAAGAGTGGCGCGGATGCTACGTATGTGTTGGGAGAGCGGGTGGGAGTGAGCGATGCGGCGCGCGGCTTGTATGCAGCTTGCCTCCACCATGGCCGCGCCTAATTTCGGAACAGGGCGGGCTGAGACAGCATCAGTCCCCTCCTGGGGTCCAAGCGTACCAGTTCTCCAAGCTGCAGCCGTAGTGACAAAAGAGCCTCCCGACGGCCAACTACCGCTGTCTCAACTCGACCCACTAAAATCCCCCTCCCCAATCCCGACGGCCAACTACCGCTGTCTCAAATCGACCCCCTAAAATCCCCCTCCCCAAATCCTCACGATCGTCTGCAGTCTATATATATACACATGAAGAACGGTCGGCACTGACGCAAGGGCCTCGGACGCCGCAGATGGCACTTGTTGGTCTTCTGGCTGCCAACTCCCCAGGGACGCAGGGACGCCCAAGGGTCCTGAAGGGCAGGCCAGTGGCAACGGAGAGTGACGGGCCGCAGAGGCAAGACCGTAAGGAGTACCCTGAATTGTGAGCCTCTCTTCCGGGTTAACTCTTTCACTGTATCGAACGGGCCCCGATGCGCGACCGCCGCGAGTGGCGGGCGGCTGACGGGCACCGATCTCCACCCCCACCCCCTCGCCTCCTCTGCGTGGTCACCGCCCCCCCCCCCTGCCTCTCCCCAACTGCCCCGACCTTCTATGGGGGGCCGGGGGATCGGATGCATCGGGGCTCTGATAGAGGGGCCGGGGTCTGACCGATGACCCCTGATGCTCGGGGGATGTC